CCCTGCCCCATAGTGTGAGCTCAGCCCCGGGGCCATCGGCCCTTCCTGGGGCCGCGCTCGCGGGGGGCGAGGAGGAAGAGGAGGAAGAGGAAGGTCGGGGGGGGAGGCGGGGGGAACGAAACCGGGACCGAAACCGAGCAGAACCGAGGGCCATTCCTAAGCGCCGGGCCGCGGGGGCCGCTCAGTTGGAGTCGGAGTCGGACGAGTCCCCCGAGGAGGAGGAGGAGGAGCTGCTGCCCTCCGAGTCGTTGTCGTCCTCGTCGTCCTCGTCCTCCTCGTCCTCATCCTCGTCGTTCTGCACGGAGAGGGCGCCACATCCATGTCCATCCATCCACCCTCCCACACACATCCCAGAGAAAGGTGGGGAGAAGCTCCCCCCCTGCCCCTAGGGCAGCAGGCACCCATGGAATGAGTTTGCCAGTGCTCAGCACGGCCGCAGCGCACACAGGAGCGAGGAGGGGGCACAGTGGGGAAAGGGGGGGCCCCCCATCCCTGCCCTCACCTCGTCCTGCCTCCCCGGCCCCCCGCCGCCCCTGTCCTCGTCCCCGTCCTCGCTCTCCTCCTCGCTGCTCGACTCGGAGGAGTCGGCGCCCTCCTCCGACGAGTCGCCGTTGTCGTCGTCATCATCGTCGTCTTCGTCGTCGTCCTCCTCGTCGTCATCATCGTCATCGTCGTCATCCTCGGACTCCTGCGGGGGTTCAAGGGGTGGTCAGGCGCAGGCTGGTGGCTCCAGGGAGACTCAGTGCATCTTGGCACCCCAACACGGGACCCACCATGGGATCATGGAAGCTACCATGGAATCACAGGACCCAGGCCAAGACCCAGGCACCCTCCATAGGACCAACACCGGACCACAGCCCCATCGCCCGACCACCCCTCGCCCCGTGGGACAACAGGACCATGGGATCCACCCCAAGACCTAGGTGCCCAGCACGGACCCAATGTGGGACCACAGGACCCACCACGTGACCCATCACAGGACAAGAGGACCATAGGAACAACCACAGGACCCTGGTGCCCACCACAGGACCCATCGTGGCACCCTGGGATCCATCATGGGTCCATAGGACCCCCCATGGGACCCTGACACCCATCACAGGACCCATCACAAGACCCCAGGACCCACCACGGGACTTCAATGCCCATTACGGTGCCCATCGCGGGACTCTGGAATCAAACATGGGACCCCCCCCATGGGCCCCCCCGCAGGCCCCCCCCCCACCACAGGCCGCAGCGCCGTGAACCCCGCCGTGCCGCAGGGTTTGCTCCCCGGGCCGCCAGCCCCCGTGCGCCCACTCACCGACTTGGACTGCATCGTGGGCTTCATCTTGGGGTTGGGGCCCCGCATCTTCCCTATGCTCTTGCGTTTCTGCGTGGGGAGACCAGGTGAGACCATGGGGCCGGTCCCCCCCGGCACGGAGAAGCCCCCCGCGAGGCCGGCGCAGCCCCGGCGCGGCCGCGCTCGCCCATACTCACGTTGGAGGTGTGCTCCTTGTAGGCGGCTCGCTCCTGCGGGGACAGGCTCTGCGGGGACGAGCACACGGTGAGGACGGGGCAGGCAGGGACATGCCCCTGCAGCCCCTTCCCCGCTTATAGATAGGTGCATTTTCTAAGTTCGCCAGTGTGGGTTTTGCAGGGATGGGGAGGGAGCAGAGATCTCCTTGTGAGCAAACTCTCCCGAGGGAGCAGAGCACCCTCCAAGGGAGCATGGACTTTCTCAAGGGAGCAAATCCTCTCCCAAGGGAGCAGAGACCCCTCCAAGCAAAAAGAGACACCCCGAGCAAGGAACAACCTCCTCAGGTGAGCAGAGACCCCTCCAAGCAAGCAGAGACACCCCCTTCCAAGCGAGCAGAGACCTCCTTGAGTGAGCAAACCCTCCCTTAAGTGAGTAGACGCCCCTCCAAGCAAACGCAGACCCGCTCAAGGGAGCAAACCCTCACCCAAGCGAGCAGAGAGCCTTTTCCCCAGCCCCTCCAGGGCCAACGCGCGGCGGAGCCCAAGGGATGCGCCCACCTTGAGCCAGATGTCGAGGTGCACCTTGTACTGCTTCTGCTGCTCCTCGGCGAGCTTCTTGTAGTGCTCCTTCTGGCCCTGGGAGATGCGCTGCCAGCGGCTGCCGATCTCCACCATGCGCTCCTTGAGCGGCAGGTGGTTCAGCTCCCCGTTGGAGAGCAGCTCCTGGGAGAATTTCTGGTAACCGTTCCTGCAAGCGGGACGGGGACGCAGAGAGCGGCTCAGCCCGGGCCCCGCCGCACGGCGGCCCTGGGGGGGCGGGGGGGCTTCCAAGCCCCCCCCCCGCTCCGGCGTGACACTCACATGGGGGGTTTCTTGGGCTCGCCCTGGAACTTCATCTTCTTGGCAGCGTTGGTGGAGCACGGCGGGGCCCGCATCTCGCTCAGCTCCCGCTGCAGGGACACAGGGCATGAGGGACGGGGACAGCGGCGGCGGGGGACGCGCGTGGGGCCGGGCAGCCACCCACCTCGTATCGCTTCTGATCCTCCGCCGCTTTCTTGATCCACATGAGCTTCTCCTTCTTCTCCATGTTGTTCCAAGTGGCCTCCATGGCCTTCAGCGCTTTGCTCCGGTCGTTCTGCGGCACGGAGAGGGCCGCTCAGAGCGCGTTCCCGGCGCGCGCGCGCCCGAGCTCGCCGCGGGCCCACGGCTCACCTTGAAGCGAGCCAGGTAGTCGCCGATGACGCTCTGCTGCCAGATCTCCTCGGCCGTCTTGGGGGACTCGGGCAGCTTGCCGCGCTCCTCCTTATCGGAGCCGTGCTTCTTCTCCGACTGCGCCTTCATCGCCGCCTCCCGCGCCTTGTACTTGGCCTGCGGGAGAGCACGGTGGGATGAGAGCGCCGAGAAGCGCTCCGGTCTTCCCAGAGATGCTCAGGGATGCACCAGGATGCATGGACGAAGTGCACAGACCCAGCCACGCGAGAGGGACAGGGCGCAGGGACCCGGCTGAGCGCGGGAGCTCGGGATGCTCCCGGAGCGAGCGGGACGGGCTGCTCACCTTCTTCTTCTCGGAGAGGTCGTTCCACATGCGCGCCAGCAGCCGCGTGAGCTCGCTCTCCGACAGCTCCGGCCGCTCCTCCTGCAGCTGCTTCCGCTTCTCCTCCGAGAAGATGAACATGGCAGAGATGGGCCGCTTGGGCTTCTACGAGCTGGTCTTCGGGTGCGACACGGGGCCTGGGGTGCGGGCCC